AAAAAAAAAAAAAAAAAAAAAGGAAAAGTCTTTCTCTAGAGTCTCCTGGGGGAGCACAACCCTTCTAACACCTGGATTTGGCTTCCAGAGTTGGGAAGAAATTTTTTTCTATTGTTTTAAGCTACCCAGTTTATGGCCTCTGTTATAGCAGCCCAAAGACACTCCCACAGTCACCTGGGCCAGGCAGAGGCGATCACAGGGATGGGCCAAATGGACTGTCAGTCCTCCTGGCGGAGGGGGAGACTAAGAACTGACCCCTGTGGCCTGCCTCCTGAACATTGGAGCCACTTGGGTGGCCGGTTCACTTTCCAGGAGGCTCCTGGGAAAGGTGGGTGGCTGCTGTCCCTTAGAGGCCATTGCGGGTACTGCACCCACAGGCCCAGCAGGCTGAGCTGTTGTGTCTTAGTTTTTGTGTTTGTGTGTGTGTGCTTTCTGGAATCTGCCAAGCCTTGTACCATTCTCCTTATCTCATCTGCTTTCTCTCTTCCCACTGGAATGCATGCTCCATGAGGGCAGGAGCTGGGACATCTGCAGAATGGTGGCAGGCATCCCCTCTCCCACGTGTCTGGGCAACCATGAGCCTAGTCTCACTGGCCATGTGGGCCTGGGGACCCATGTTCTATTGGGCCATGTAGAGGACTTGAGGTGCAGACAACTAAAGTGGGAACTTGCATGGTCAGCCCACTTCCTTAGGCTTCCCACCAACCGGGTGAAACGTTCGGCCTCTGAGAGTTGAAAAGCGAGAGCCTGAAGGAGTGGCCTCTCCGTGGCCACCTGTGATCCTCTCCCTTCCCTATTCCATGAGGACTTGGAGGTGATACCACTGTCCTATCATTCAGCTCCCAAACCTATGGTGGATGGGGAGGCTGGAGACCCTGTAGGCCCTAGCACCGGGGTACTGGGGTCAGAGTCTTCCCATGTGCTCAAGGCCAAGGGTGAGCTAAGGCTGCAGGGCATGGCTGTCCTCCCCACCAGGCCAAGCGGGCAGTGACTGCTTGCCTGTTTCCCTCCTCCTTGGGGGATACAAGCAGTGTATGGGTGGCAGAAGGGGCACAACAACCATCCTTTCTTCTCAGGCCCTTGGCATTGGCTGACCTATTACTCACTGCAGGGTTCCACAGGAGCCCCTGCCCAGTCCTTGGGAAGCTGGGAAAAGGCTCCCATTGACCTTGGATGATACAGGGCTGTAAGTGGGCCTGAGGACAGAGAATCCTCTGTGCTGGGTGAGTGGAGGCCAGGGCGGGACAGGCCACTAGATGGGCCAGAGGATAGTGGCCTTGCTGGACAGGAGGTGGGTTCAGGAAGCAAGCCACTCCTTGTTGTCATTACTACCTATTCAGCACTTAC